CCCCCCCCCCCCCCCCCCCCCCCCCCGACGCCGCCCCCCCCCCCCCCCCCCCCCCCCCCCCCCCCGGCACCACCTTGACGGCCCGCGCCCACCACCGGCACCTTTCAACTTGCCCCCTGTTGAAAAAGTTTGAGGACCCCTGCTCTAGAGAAAGGGTAAATAGAAAGTAGATTAGGTTCTACTGGTAGATCTTTGGGTGATTTGCAGTAGATCAACAAGAGTTTCTGATTCCCATTTGTCTAACAGCAGGAACAGTTACAAAGCTTTTCCCATCTAAGTCACATTACTGACCACCACCGCTTGGGGAAAAACATGAATGGGTTTTCACGTGGAGGAATTTGTAAACTTAGTTCTGGTATTAATCATAAGTGATGCCAAGCATATGTAAACCTAGATCCATTCGGTGGACTCCAGGGTTCTAGTAACAACTATAGCATTAATAAAAAGCGGAGCCACAAAGCAATGAAGAATCTGTTCAAAAGGAAGATAAAGTGTCAGAAAGTCCCAGTGACATTAGTGCACTATTTGAACTACCACTGACTGACTGACCTGTAGGTGTGGCGCTACAACTTAGTGGAATAGCACATGCTTTGTGTAAAGGTGGTATCACATTCAGTTGGTGCTATCTCCAGAAACAACTGACTGTCAAGGGGGCAGGCTGCTCCAGTGCAGCAAATTTACTCTGGGCTCTTGAGGAACCCAGCTAGAGAGAGTAGAAAATACTGGGCCAGGTAGACAAAACATCTGACTGTATAAGCAAATTTCCTGTGTCCTACTTTCCCCATTTCAAAAAGAAAGTGCTAGCTTCACTGAAAAATAAATTACATTTACCTTTCTCAAATTTAGAGAAAGCAACAGATTTGAGGCTGCACTGGTGTCCTTTGCATACTCCCAGTAGCTCACCGGTCCTTACATCCCAGACTTTTGCAGTTTGGTCTCCTGAAGCAGTAACCTTAAACAAAGTAAATTCGATCATTTCTTGAGCAACACTCCCCTGTTCCATCCCTGCCCTCAATGTTCTATAACACTTACAGGTTATAAGCTTGTTGTAGCATGAGCTGCTGAAGGCAGAAACATGTTCAGCAGTTGTGTGAAATAAATGTATGCAGCCCTTTGCATGTTTACTCACAAATAAACTCCAGCAAGTTCAAAAGGACTTACTCTTAAATAAGTGTGCATATGATTGCAGTCTTTGAAGATAGCAAGTACTGAGACTGAGATATGAAGGTGCTTGATTGAAACATAATTCAAATGTAAGTGACGCATTCAGATATCCATGCAAGACAACACAGGATAGAATTACAGTATCCCTGACAAATGGCTGCCCAGCAATGGGAAGTCAAACATTTTCTGGGCCAGTCTGTTCCATGTATAAAAGGCTAAAGACGACTCCTGCGAGACCCTTGGACTGCAAGGCAATCAAACCAGTCAGTCCTACAGGAGATCAACCCTGACTGCTCTTTAGAAGGCCAGATACTGAAGATGAAACTCAAGTACTTTGGCCACCTAATGAAAAGGAAGGACTCCCTGGAGAAGAGCCTGATGCTGGGAACAATAGATGGCAAAAGAAGAAGGGGACGCCAGAGAATGAGATGGCTAGATGGAGTCACTGAAGCAGTCGGCGTGAGCTTAAGTGGACTCCGGGGATGGTGGAGGACAGGGAGGCCTGGGGGAATGTTGTCCGTGGGTCGGACATGACTTCGCAACTAACAACAACATCACGAGGAAGCCTTTCCTAATGCGTCACCAAAATCTTTTTGCCTGCTTCTACCCATTAGTTCTAGTTCTGCAAGCTGGATTGGAACTAATGGAAAATTATTAGTTACTGGTTCAAGGCATGATAATTGAAGAATTAGAGATTGTTAGGTGAGGTGGCATTACCTTCTGTAAAACATCGAACCAAACGTAAATATAATACAAGCAGCAACACATAGCACTGGATTCCTTCATTGATTCTACTCATACAGCTTCTCATCTCTAGGTGTAGCCAGAAATATCAGTATTTCTGTTTGTTATTAGAACAGGAAGAGACAGAAGGGGCACTGAAATATGTCACAGGACTTAATGAGTTTAACAGGGAACAGATATTACTAGTTAACTTACTATTTTGTGTTCTGTGGGCATCCAGGCAAGATCAAAAACAGCATTTAAGTGAGCCTGCCACTCTGAAGGGAAAATGAAGTATATATCAGTTTTAAATATGAAAGCATCAGTCCTTTTGTAAGAGAACATCAGTTTATGAAAAATGGTAGCAAAGATTTAAGTTGCCAATTATCTGATCTGTCAAAAGACTCAACAATACTGCCTTTGTCAAGATCAAGGCTTCTGTTTACCTCTAGCAATCTGCTTGCTTCTTGTTTGGGTGTGGGTATCATACAGCCTAACAAAACCCTCTTCGTTCGCAACAGCAAGAACATGCTGCACATCTGGAGCTAAAAAGATAAGCAATATTTGCATGATTTTAAAGCTGTGAGGTAATTTTTACAGTTGTACACAATTGTTTTAAAGGTGTAATTCATTGGCATGAAGTTTGATTGGACAGAAGGATAACACACATACCCATCATAAATTGGAATCTACAAAGCCATGTTGTTAAAATAGCATATAAATTTCAACATGAAAATGAGTTATAACACTGCTAAATTTCAGGATTACAGCAATATTTTGCATCTATCTGATGATAAAGTACAAAACAAAAACAGCATTTGGAAATGAACATGTATATACACACATCCTATTATAATTTGCCTAATTCCTAATTTGGTGCATTAACTATTGCAGTTAGAGATGGTCCTACATCTTATATACGTTTGTATGGAATGTATCTGCATTTTTCCAACAACTAGTCTTATCTAAACACCTTTTTTGGGTGGAATGCTAGGATCTAAGTTTAATAAACAGTCTATTGCACTATGTTATACCCAGTAGCTGGTAGACCATTCTGCAAAGTTAAATGCAACTCAATTAAGGCTCAGAGAAATTCAAAGATGAAATGAATGAATTTGTACACAGTGCTGGCAGTTCTTACTTTGTTTAACCCAGGAACTGCAGGGATAAGTGTAACATACAAATTGTACACTTGTTGATTATGCTTTTAATCAACAAGGCAGGGATGTCTCATACTTGGGTTATTACAGGCACCCAAGCCTGTAAATTCTACATGGCTTATGAGAACCAAACACAAAGTTCATCCAAACAAAAACCATGGACAATTGTAGGTTAACTATGGATCATTCAACGAGTTTCAGTGTCCAAACATCAGAAAAGATCCCAGGAATTGCCAACACTACAGCCAAACCAGGTCAGCACCTAACAACTCTTATGATTACACAAATGTAATGTGCAGTTATGTGAGATAGTAAAATTATATCCTTTGCCTGTCTTTTGAACATGGATTTGACAAAGTCAACCACACAATACTTTGGTTTGCTTAATACACATATAGGCAAAGGCTGAAATAAACTCTGAATGTAAACCCCATTTTCTATTTGAAAGAATTCTTGAATTGAATTCTTGATACAGAGCCCATATACCTATAGTCAATCCGCTGTTTCAAATAGGTTAAAACATCCTTCAGTTTAGAAAAGGCAGCTGAACTTCCTGTTCATCCTTTATTATTGGTGGGTAAATGTGGTCTCTAAGTACATAACATATTTTATCCTTGCCATAAAGCAAGCTTGTGACAAATGTTTCCAAATTAGACACCCCCACCACACACACACCTGTTGAAAAGGCACAGCCAAATGGTGGAACTGGCATTCCCATTTCTCCATAGGAAGAGTGTTCATCTTCCTTAGTACACTGATAGCACCCTAAAAGATGGTGTAAGGAAAACTTTGGCAGCAGACCTAAAAAGATATAAAGGTTATGAAGTAAAGAGATGCTTTTTGAAAAGGTAAGCAACAAATCTCTGCAGGTGTCTCTTATATTTCCCCATTGCTTACTATTATAGCAGGAATGGGCCCTGTAGCCTACCAAAATGACAGACCATTTTAGAGCACAGCAAAGGCCTAGCCAGTCCAGCATCCTGTCCTCACAGTGGCCAGACAGATGGCTATAGGGAGCCCAAAATTCAGGGGATGTAAGTAAGTAGTTAGTTACATGGCTTATATACAAAAAGCCTCAGGTTCAAACTCCAGGTAAGGCTAGAAAAAATATTGCCTGAAATGCTGGAGACCTGCTGCCAGTCAGTGTTGACAATACTAGGCTAGATGGCCTCAGAATAAGAAACTGCCTGTATGCCTAAAAGCAGGACATGGGCAGAATAACATCCTCTCATTTGTGTTACATACCAACTAGAATTGTAAGGTACTGCCTTTGATACCAGAGATAGATAACAAGTAGCCATTTACCTAGTAGTCATTGATAGACTTCTCCTCTGTTAAGAGGAAGAGAAAAATGTTAACAGATTCCTGCCTTTTTATTTTATATTTCACTGCAGGAGCTGCATCCCTCCCGGAATTTGATCTATCCAGTTACCAATCCCTGGCATCCAGCACTCCCAAGGATCAGTTAAACTGTCATCTGGAATAAGACAAAAAGGGGTGGGGAGGGGAAAGCGAGGCAACAGTGCCAGCGCAGGAGGGAGCACCAGGCAGACCAGGCTGCCCCCCACCCCACCCCAGCCATGAAGGGCCAAGGGTCTCTCCCTCTCTCAGACTAACGAACTTCACTGGATTACCATAACGATAATGGACGAAGGAATAAAAAGCTACTTGAGTTCCAGGAAAGAAGCGCGGGACTTAAAAAGACTGAATACGGAGAACTGGTCTGGAGGGAGTACTCGAAGTCGTGGGGTGAGAGGGAACCAAAGCTGAAATGGCGGGAGGAAACGGGGGGTCGAGGATTACGGATTTCATGAAGGGTGGGTTTTTTCCCCTCCCGTAACATGAACATCGGCTCTATGAAATTAAAACAGAGGGAAATTCTTCCTTCGCTCTGCAAAGACTCACCCTGCGGCCCAGCCTGACAGCGACGAACGAGAGAACGGCACAGCATGGCAACGAGGGCCGCCGCTTCAACTCACTCACTTCCCGCGTAGCTCCCGCCGGGAACCGAAAAGCAATTTTCAACTAATCCAAACTCCCGCCAGTCCGAAATACGCGCCAGAGCCACCGCACGTTCTCATTGGCTGGCGATGAGCGTAAAACCACACCCCCCTTAGCTATTGGCTTGTCCTTTCCCACCAACAGGATAAAGCCTCGCCCTTTCTTCGTTAAATTAGCATATAAGCCGGCCTCTTCTCCTGATTGCGCATGCGTAACAACAAAGTGTTTATTTTTGAGTTCATAGTGTCAAGAACAGTGATAGCAGTACGCATGCGTACTAAGAGGTCTTCGGCGGGAATGCAGTGCGCAGGCGCGTCAAATACTGTAGCGCCCGCGCAGATGCAGTAGGGGTTGTTTGAGACGGAAAAGGAAACGTAGCGGGTGTGTACGTTGTGTGGGTCGAAAAATAAAGCACTTGTCTCTCGTCTTCCCGCGATTGGGAGCCCGTGTATAGCGGAGAACGCCATGGCCTCCGCTTCCAAATCCTTCCTCGCCGATGCAGGGTACGGGGAGCAGGAGCTGGACGCCAACTCTGCTCTCATGGAACTGGATAAAGGTAAGGCAGCACGTTCAGGCGCGAGCGATGCGCATGCTCCGAGAGCGTTACAGCTACGCTTGCTCCTGGGGAATTGCTCCATCCGTTCATTGTGAGGTGGGGGTTTTGAAGGAGAGCAGCTTTTGGGGGGAGTAACAAAGAAGATCTGTCGTGCTTGTGGTACTTCAGCGTTTCCAGACTTGAGATGTGCTAGACTACAGTTGTCATGTGGGCTGAAGATGCTTGGCGTTGCAGTCCATTAACACCAGGGCGGGAGACTGCCAGCTTGGAAATAACTGCCTTAAAGACCAACATATTATGCCTTAAGTAAACTTTGTCTTTTAAGGCAGGGGTGGGGAATGTGCGGTCCTATAAAAGTTGTTGGACTGTGACTCCCATTCTTTCCTGCCAGCATGATGGGAGTTGTACTCCAATAACTACAGGCTACTAGGTGGCTGCTTGAAGATGCTACAATTTGTCTGCTGTCCTTCTGCAACTCTCAGCTTTCTGGACTGTCTTAAACATGAACCAGCTCTTATCCCTTCACATTCTGTTTTCTTGTGTTGGCTTGAGATGACGGAATTTCTAGTCCCAAGGTCTGGAGGGCACCAGGTACAAAATGGCTGACATAAAGTTGAAAAGATTTATTATGGCTGTGAGCAAGTTTACTTTTTGAAACTAGGGTTGGGAAGTATATGATCCTCCAGATGGGTTGTTAGACTCATCACTTCCAGTCAGCATAACTGAAGCAGAAGGTTGATGGGACTTGCTATCTTACATATTACATACATATTACATACGTACATATGTTACATGTTCCCCATTCTTCATATAAAGGACCACAAGCTTGTGTTGTCCTTCCAGATTAAAAGATGATCTAACCTTTTTTTTTTTTGTAAAAGCACATCAAGTGATGTGTGCGTTATGCTCACATGACTCCAGTCCTCTGTCAGCTTCACTGGCTTCCCATTGAAGCCCGGGCCCAATTCAAGGTGTTGATTATGACCTACAAAGCCCTAAACAGCTTGGGTCCTGGCTACCTGAACGAGCGCTTACGTCCGTATATGCCCGACCGCCCTTTGAGATCTGCGGGAGAGTCCCTTCTCCGGGAACCCTCCATGAAAGAAATTAGGAGAGTAAGTACCCGGAGGAGGGCTTTCTCTGCGGTGGCGCCCAACCTATGGAATTCACTCCCCAAAGAGGTCCGCCTGGCACTGTCGTTACTGGTTTTTCGGTGCCAGGTAAAGACCTTTTTATTTAAACATCATTTCAATTGTTAAAACATATGATCTGGCCAGGGCAACTTCTTCTTCCTTCTCTTTCTCCTCCTATATTTTTATTTTATACTGATAATTTTAATTTTATTTTTGTAAATCAATGTATTTTTTGTATTTTTATATTTAATGGTAATTTATTATGTACTATTGTATTTCAATGTATTTTATCATGTAAGCCGCCCCGAGGTTTCGGCAAGGGGCGGCATAGAAATGTTATAATAATAATAATAATAATAATAATAATAATAATAGTGTGTGTTGTATGTTGAGGACACGTTATACTTCAGATTTGGTGGAAGAATGGTATAAAAAGGTTATGCTGTTTCTGTGTTTTGAGATGAGGGTGTGACATGCAAATTATCCTGTAATTTGTGAGCTTACTGCAATTATTTCTTAGGTTATGTTTGGATTTTGTAATTCAAATGTTATTGTAACAACATTGGATGTTATGCTAACAAAGTAGAAATGGGGTATTCTTAGGTGGTTTATGCAGACCAGAAGTAGCTTGGATATAGTGCATGTTAACCTATGATTTGCTGTTGTGAAGTGCAACCAGGTCCTAGTCAATACCTTAATAGGCAATACACCTTGCCCTAGTCATTAATATCTTCTCATCTGTTAGTAACAGAGAACCAAATTGCATGTCACAGCATGTGCATCATTGAGGCAAATTGAACTGTTTCTAACAACAAACCATACCTTTACTAGGTGACTTTTTAGCTTCTAAAAGACCATTGGTCCAGGTTCTCACAGTAAAAACCTCCAGTTGGGCCAGTTAGAGGTTGTTATGGAAACTAGAAACAACTTGAAAGATGGAACACATCCCTGCTTATCATGGGATAAGTAATCCACAATTTGTTGCAGAGTCATGCAGACCAGGTCATTGAATTGATCTAAAAAGCACTTCTGGTCAGCTACATCACAGCAAGTTTTTGTGTTCTTAGGATTTAAGTATAATTCCTTGAACTAGGTAGGCATTGCTTGATATTGTACTCTGAGCTAAAATCATTAATAGTAGTCAAATTAAACAGTTGGAGCTGTTTTCCCTTCAGCAACTCAGAGTTTTAAGTTTGCATGTCATGATGAATAGGATGCTGTTTTCCAAACCAGATGCAAAGTGGAAGCAGGGGGTGGGCAGGAAGTACGATTAGCATGCTCGCTGCCTCACAGTTTCAGCAAGCCATGGGATGCCCTCACGTGTGAACTGGTTAAGTGTGTACTGCTTGTCACGTTATAGCCTGCTTCACCTTCATTGGATCTGATTGTCAAATCTGGGATCTGTCAATGTTAAGATGGCATTATTATTTCTCACAGGTCTACGATCTGGCAAACTGGGAGAGCAGTGTGAGGCTGTTGTCCGTTTTCCAAGACTCTTTCAAAAATATCCATTCCCAATACTCATTAACTCAGCATTTTTAAAGCTAGCTGATGTGTTCAGAGTTGGGTAAGTAAAGTCCTTAATATTCAAGTAACTGGATGAATTCACACATACTGTCAAGCCATGCTAGAAACCACACAGTATCCATGGTGAACCACAGCAAGTTCGGTTTCCATGGAACCACACAGAAAAACAATGGTTTGTTGTAAGGTTTCCACATTTTACTGTGGCTTGTCTTTGTGTGGCCCCAGTTGCCATGATTATACATCATCAAGAAGAACAACTGCAGCGGCAAGAACAGCTGTAGCTGCTGCAGGTGATCCAGTCTGCATTTTTTGCTGTCCTGTTCTGTGTAGCAACTGCCGAGGCAGCTACAACTGAACTCTTATTGGCTGCCTTGTGCTGCTCTTTCCCACTGTTGGCACACTGCCTTCATGATGCCCAGTTGCAGCCTTAGAGGCTGCATGCTCCTGTCTTGTCCCTGGTATTCCTGAGAACTGTCAACGAGCCCTGCTGTCCCTCACCCACAGCTGCAGGAAACACATTTCTTGTGGCTAGCTGGAAAACTTTCCCCGGCAGATTCCCATACAAGCAGCCTTGGGAAAGAATGCTTTCCCTCTGTCCCTGGCACGGCCTGCCAAGTGCTGGGTACCATGGGAGGCAGTCCCTGGCAACGTGTGCAAATTGTGCACATGGGGGAGTGTGGGCACATGTTTAGGGAGGGAGAGGAGGGTGTATGTGTGGGTGAGTGCTTGCTCATTGGCACAGGGTAGGGCATTCCTGTAGTGCCCCTCTAGAACAACAGCACTACTTGAGTGAGTAGGCAGTGGCTTTGCTGAGGAGCAGGGGAAAAAAGCAGAAAAAGGTGGCTGACTGAGTCTGTGCCCAGGAGAAAGTGTGGCCAATGAGAAAGAGGCAGGGAAGGGAACAGGAGCAGTGTACCCTGGGACTGATCTTCAGCTGTAGGGGCTGTTGGACTATGTGCTTCTATTTAAAGGGAAGATGGAGAAGCGTGGAAACGTGCATGCATAGAAACCATGCAAATGTGTGAGACCAGGATGCAAGGCTAGAAGCCATGCCATGTGATAGCCTTGTGACATTGCTTTGCATTATGTGTGAATTCAGCCACTGTGGTCTGGTTGGTTGGTTATGATCAGTTCCCAAGTCTTCATGATTCAGAGCAAAAATTTCTAGAGAATCACCTGTTTGAGCCTTGCCTGCTCAGTGAAATTATCAATGCTGATCCTATTTGCATTATGTTTGCTAAGGATTAAGGAAAAGACCTTGGTAATGTGCTCAGGTCTATGAACTCCCTCCTGAGGGAAGTTTGCCTTGCTGCTGCTTTAATGAACTTCTGATCCAAGTCAAAACCTTGCATTTTATGAAAGCTTTTGCGCTATAATATGTATACACTCTGCTTATGGGTCTTATTTTTCTTTAGGGTTTTAATTATGACGATTAATTCTGAAGCTCTTTCTATCCAGTTAGTGTTCTACTAGGACATGCTTTCCCTCTTTATGCTTTCTTTTCTATTTCTGAACTTTGTTGTGATGCTATAATATTTTTGGTATTGTTGATGGTTTAAATAACCTTGAACTTGTTACAGAAAAGAAGGATACAGCTATTGTGGTAATTGAATTACATTTTATCTTAAACAGAAACAATTTCTTGAGGCTCTGTGTTCTAAAAGTTACTCAGCAGAGTGAGAAGCACTTGGAGAAGATTCTGAATGTGGATGAATTTGTGAAACGAGTTTTCTCTGTAATCCACAGCAATGATCCAGTTGCTCGTGCAATCACACTCAGGTAGGCATGCTAACTGAGCAAAGACCAGTCCAGAAAATGTCATTCTGAGAGTACTCTTCAGATAGTATCAGCAAGAACAAGAAATGTGTGAGGCTGCCTTATATTGAGTTAGTTTTTTGGAATGTGTAACTGAGTTTGATTCACTCTGACTGGCAGGGGAACTTCAAAGTCTCTGATAAGGGTCTCTCCTACTCTTGCCTCCTGAATTCCTGTAACTGGATGTGCCAGGGGTTGAAATGAGCATTTTCTTCATGCAAAGCAGCTGATCCCTCACTATGATCTCTCCCCAAGTCTTCAACTTACATGTGCCTTCGCATACTAGTTACTACCATTTGAGCAGTATGAGTTGTATCCAGTGGTCTCCTCTTGTTAGTAGAAGAACACTGCTGGCAGATACTATTTCTCCTCCCCACTACCTGCATCCCAGAACTACTCCAAAGAGTTGGGAAACCCGTAGATGATCCAATGGGGTCTGGAAAGGAGTAGGGGAAGGGAATCTATTTTCATTGCACTGGAAGAAGTCTGCTTATATAGTATTGGATATAGCCCAATGTTTGCCGATTATGCTTAGCTGTATGCTGCATTTTTTAAAAAGATGGCTGCAGATTCAATTCACAGAGCCCCCCCCCCCGCCCTTTTTTAGAAGATTTGGCTTTGTTTCTGTTGTATTTACTTAGTTGCTACTTGATGATCCTCTGCTTTATTTTCAGAATGTTGGGCAGTATGGCATCCATAATTCCTGAGAGGAAGAATGCACATCATAGTATTCGCCAGAGCCTGGACTCACATGACAATGTAGAGGTTGAGGCTGCCATCTTTGCTGCAGCTAATTTTTCTGCCCAGTCCAAGTAAGCAGAACACCCCTGATGTATGTCCGTAGTTCCCAGCTCATGATTGGCATTTATATCGAACTAATTCTTGCACAGCCCATCAGTATTATTTTCCCCCTATGCAAGATAGGATGGCAGCTGAGGTGAGGGTTACAGAAAATGGCACGTATATCTTGTCTTGCACTGCTGACATAAATAAAAAATTGTGAAATTAATTGAACATTAGGACAAGTGGCTGAGTGTGTTTTCTTCGTTATTTAACATTGAGAAAAGCCCCATTCCCTTGCTCTGTTATTTTGACAAATGGTGGGGAGCCCCTCCCTAAACAACATGTTGAGAACATGGCACTACAGTGTGCATGATCAGCTTTCTGACAGGATGCATAAACTCCTGTTGCCATTTGAGAGGACTTTCTCTTAATACCTTTAAAAAAATACTGTAGTAAGCTGGATGCAGTTCCACATTTCACACTGTATCTTAACATCAGTTGAACCTGATTTCAAAAAACTATGTGCATCAAAACAAGGTCAAGGATCAAACTAAACATTTGTTTTGTATAAAAATATTTGTGTGCTTAATAAATGTTTCAAAACATATTAAAGTTTTTCAATTACATTTGTTTAATTAGTGTAGTTTTTAATGTAATCTATGATTTGCTTACTTGAATTCATATTATCTTTTGAGTTGTGTGTGTGTGTGTGTGTGTGTGCGTGCGCACTGTCTGTTTCCATTGCCTTTAATCCCATTATTGGGCTACTTACTTACAGTTTAAAATTTGAAATAATATCAATTATATTAATTACAAACATTTTGCTAATATGAAGGATACAGTTTATAGAAATGGGCTGCCAAGGACTATGCAAGTGAAAAGAGATTGGGAACCACTGAACAAATACAAATCCACTATTTATGTCAAAGCTAACAATGAGTCATAAAAACAGTGTCAACCTTTTTGTAGCTCACTCAGTTGTATAACTGTCTTTTCCCTTCTGATTCTTGACAGAGATTTTGCCGGAGGGATATGTAACAAAATCAGTGAAATGATTCAAGGTATAAACCTCTTACCTGAAAATGAAAACTTATCAAAGCTTTTCCTACTTGTGCACATGTCTTTGAAATCCTAATTATTTTCTTTGAGGAAAGGAAAATTTTACTCAGTTCTTTTCTTCAAAAGAAGTAAAACATATGCATGCTTGCTAGAGTTTCAGTCAGTTAAATACATGTAATTTCTTGGTGTAGAAGCACACTAAGGGATGTTCAGTTCTCAGAAGCAAAGAAATGTGACAGTTTTCTTGAGGCATGTGGCTCTTGCTTGACATGAGTAAGCTTAGTCAGTTGCAATTAGGTAAGCGCAGTCTTGCTGGGAGTAGTACTTACAAGCCCAGTCTTAATACATGCAAAGAAGTCCTGCTTCTGAACTCCTTGAGACCACAAGTGGCAGGCCATTGCATTTCAAAGCCAAGCCTTTTTTAATTGATTTGCTGAGTCTGGCACTGAATCCCATGCTATGCATTTTATTATTTCTATTGTTGAGTTTCTATATTGTGAGCTTTAGTATGTGTTGTTTTAGTAGTAGGAGCTGCCTAGGGATGCCACTGGTGGAATAGGCGGCATATAAATATTTTAAATAATATTTAGTGCTGTCTGCATACACAGTATATTAGAACGACATTAAGCATAAAAGTGTGTGAAGTTCACATTTTAGCTGTGCATGTACATGCATGCACATGTACATAAAGCAAGGAGAGTGTAAGGGGTTAAACTGGATCATCCATTCCTGGTGACTGGGTAGTAAATTAGTTATACTGTTTCAAATGCTCCCCGCCCCACTCCAAATCTCTGAATTCTCACCTTGTATTATTGATGTATTCAATCAACGGTGCTGCTCAAATTTTATTTCCTACCCCTGATTATTTAAGATTTAGCCTGCAACTTGTTTTTCCTTTCCTTGCTAGGTCTAGCCACTCCCGTAGACTTGAAGTTGAAGTTGATCCCCATCCTGCAGCACATGCACCACGATGCCAGCCTCGCCTCCAGCGCTCGCCAGCTACTCCAACAGCTGGTGACATCCTACCCTTCCACCAAGATGGTCATTGTTACTCTGCACACCTTTACCTTGCTTGCTGCCTCCTCTCTGGTTGATATTCCCAAGCAGGTGACCATCTTATTTTTGCTGAATATAGGGGGTTATATCTAACTGCCCCGGTGTTAGTGCTAATGGGCAATTATGTGGGGAAGGGCCTTTTCAGTGGTGGCACCCCGACTATGGAATTTGCTCCCCAGGGAGGTTTGCCTGGTGCCGTCGCTCAATACTTTTCAGCACCAGGCAAAGTCCTTTTTATTTTTCCCAGTATTTAATAATTAATCTGGTTTTATTCTTGTTTTTATTCCTATTTTAGATGCACTACACTTTTTTATCATTGTTATGAGTTCTGTTTTTTCTTCACTTTCTGTAAGCTGCCCAGAGACTTTTTTAGGAATTGGGACGGCATACAAAAACCATGAATGAATGAATGATGCTGCTGCACTTGCACAGACAAATACTTGTATACTTGCTGGGGTAATGGGGAAAGGCAGTGATTGTGCGTGAAGTTTCAAAGCTTTCACGTTTCAGCTTCTTCATTGCTTGTACTTGCTTGTGCATTGAAAAATTCAGTCATGTCTTCAAAACTGATTTCCTTTGAAACTTGCAGATACAGCTGTTACTGCAGTATTTGAAGAATGACCCAAGGGAAGCGGTAAAGAGGCTTGCTATCGAAGATCTAAAGTTACTTGCTAATAAAACCCCACATACTTGGAGCAGAGAGAATATTCAGGTATGCAGATGCCTTTGGGTGAGGATGAGTTGTGGCATTCTGCCAGCAGGAGGGACCCATTGGCAGAATGGATTTTCCTCCCCCCGCCCCCTTGCTGTTTCCCATGCTCCTCAGCTCTCCCCTGGATGGTTTTTGGACCCTGATCAATTAGGGCTGCAGTCCACATGTACTGAGTTGCTGAACTCAGTGTGATGTACATCTAAGTAAATATGCCTAGGGCTGCACTTCAAAAGAGAGCAGGGGTAACTTATTTTCACAGGGCTGATCTACAGGTCCTGCCCTATCAATAGAGGAATAAACCTTCTAATGTTCTGTGTGGAGCAGCCTCAGACCCTTAGCATGTCTTAAAGTGGTAGCTCTTCTTAACACAGCCTGTCTCTTCCACGTTGTATCACCAGGTATTAAGGTGGAAAAGTGCTATGCAACAGTGGTGGAACAAGGTGTTGAAGTGTGCAACACTTTCTGGGGTAAATATAGAGAACAGCGCTACACTGGCCATTTTTGAGTATGTAACAAAGCAGGCCATGGTAACTGGTATAGCAGAAGGAAAGATTTGTTTATGTTGATTTTTATGTCGATATTTTGTCATAATTTATTTATATTGATATTTGCATTTATTTATGTAAGCCATCCTGAGGCTTTTGCAATAGGACGGCATATAAATATCACAAACAAACGAACAAATAAATCAAAAAAGAGAGGACAGAGACACAAGTGGTAGGCAAGCTGGACAGTTTATAAATTGTGTGAAAAAGATCTAGGAGGTACAGGTCCTGTATGGTGTGGCTCAGAGGTGGAGTAGCTGAAGCACAGGGCAGAATAAAGAGCAGTTGGCCAAGTAAGAATGCATTGGCTAGGCAGCTAAAAGAGGTACACGCCTAAGCGTATGGCAGATAAGGGTGCAGTCCTATGCATGTTTGAATCAAAGAAAGCCATACAAGTTGTAGGATTTTCCTCTGTCTAAACGTGCATCAAACTGTTGTGTCAAGGTAAAGGAGGGCTTAAGAGAAAAGCTGTGGCAGGGAGGGAGAGGGAGTTTGTATGGATAGGAAGTCTTTTTGGCATTTTCCAAAGGAATTTGATGACTTCAGGTGAGGGATCTATGGACATTGCAAGTACAAGGGCTCTGATGTGTGTGATTTTTACAGTCTTGTAAAAATTAGGAAAGCATTTGTTGAGACAGACGTCTTGTCATGTTGAGAATTGTTTTCTTTTTGCTGAGTTCTCCCGTGGCTAGTGATATGAAACGGGCTACCTGTCATCTGTGATGTTATTTAATGTGGTTTACTTTGTTGTTTCAGCCATGCTCAGTGATGCGTGGAAAGGTTCTAGCAAGAGGTGTTGTGATTCAGACAGATGGCATTTTAAATCTTAACTATTTTCCGGCTGAAGTTGAAGGCTGGAGAGGAAAATTAATTGGAGATGTGCCTTCTGCTGACAACTGTGTTGCTGTCCCTCACTTCTGGCAGTGTTTTGTACAATCTTGGGCTCCTGTACATATTCTGCAAAACATTTTTCTGGTTCCTGATCCCATGAATGGAATGCTTTATGTTGTGACATGACTTCTGATGTTCAGTTGTGAAATGTGCTTCTACTATCTCTGATGTCCCTACTGTCTGTGTAGTCTAAACTGTGCCACCCACATGCAAGAGAGAAGTATTGGTAGAGTTCAGGGCAGTCCAAGCTTTGCAGAACTACAAAATGCATTTACAGAGTCTGAGGGGAGGACCTGAAAGTTATCCCAGCAAGGACTGAGCGGCCACGGAATTTTTGTGTGTGGGGAGAGGAGGAAGAAGGGGAATGCAGTAGAGCATCGCAGAGAGGGGCATGTGTTGATGGACTGAAATACTGGGGAGGAGCATTCCTCGCCACAACAGTCTGTTGTATGCCCGAGTCGTGGCCTTCTGAATAACCACATGTGTAAGCAACAGTAATCCTTTGATAGACGAGCATTCTCAACACACAAGTTGAATTTCTTTTTAGAATTGAAGCTGCATTTATTGGTCACTTTTTATTGGTTAATTTTTTGAATTACAGAGTTTCAACATCAAGCGTTTGTACAATGATATTCAGCCACTGACGTAACCCCATCCCTGAGATGCAGTGTAGACTGCTGCTTATGAGAACTTGCAAGTGCTCAAAGCCGGAGCAACTTGCAAGCAAATGTAACATGGCTAGGGCTGTTGGATGGAAGGCCTGGGGAACCTCTTTCAGCTTGCAGGCCTAATTCAGTATCAAAGAAGCTCCTGGAAGCTGCATTCTCTTGTTGGGTGCGGGCAAAGGGGAGGAGCCAAAGGCAAAAAAGCACCTGATTATATCTTAAAGCTTTTGATGCTTGTAGCTAACGTTTAGGGGAGGAAGGTCAACCTTTTAGAATGGGATGGGAGAAGTGCAGCAGGCTGAGAAACTACCAAATGGTAGGTGGATGGGAGAAAGTGGTCAGGCCAGGGAAAAGGGGTATGGCCTTGTGAGAAGCCAGGCCTGATGTTCCCTACTCTTACCATAAACATCTAGCATACTCTACTTTCTATTCATTCTGGCTACAGTCTACATCATACTGGTGGGCTATGACATGCTTCATTTGAATTTTTTATATTAATTGAGATTCAGAGCTCTGTTCCCCACAAACCTGAATAAGTATAGCCAGCACCCTAGTCCTGGAAATATGAGGGCAGCCTTCCCAGCAGGCAGTAGGTCCTGCTTCTCTCTCTAAAAATCAATTGTTGGAAACAGCATTCCTGTCATTTCTCTGCAGAGAGATCCAGTATTTCATTGTTTTGCAGGCCTTCTCCTTTGCCAGTATCTATCATCCCTGATTGCTTTTTGTTAGAATTCTTTGCAGCCCTTCGTATCAGACCTGCTCTTTCTTGACTAATGGAATGGTAGTATTGGAGTCCACCATTCAGCTAGAGCTTAGCCTCCTAGTAGACTGGGGAAACACTGAAAAGGGATTACTGTTCTTGTAACTGTAATCCTGATTCTAAGTGTGAAATAAAGCTGGATGTTGACTTCTCATAGCTAATAATAGAGACCAAGCCAGACTTTGTCTTCATGAATCTAAATTCCATTTGTTAGAGCACAGTCCTATTCATGCTTAGACCAGAAAATGTCCTAGGGAAGGATGAGACTGAGTGGTACTTTGTTCTGCCTAAACATGCCCTTAATGTCCATATTCTCGGTATTTTTTACGGTGACTCAGCAGTTAGATTCCCCAGAACCTGATGTTTGGTCACTGTGCTGAAGATTTATTGAGGGATTAAATCACTTGGGCAAAATGCCAATAATGTGGCTTCTTGATATAAAACCTCAGGAAGTAGAAGGAAAATATGATAGACAACTACAAGTCCTTATCTTTCCCCTGAGGTATATTCTGGCTGCTGAGATTAATGACAGGCTTTTGTTACCTGTTGCAAAAGAGAAAGTAAGCCAGCTGAGTGATCTTTTAAAAACCCCAACACTTTGGAGGGCACAATCAAATTTAATTTTTAGTTTTCTTAATCATAATTCCTGTTTTTGCATGAATAGAATGCCATGTATCCTAGTGTGAAAGTTCCAACCTACTAGTGGAAGATTGCTTTTTCCATCTGGTATGTCATGAGAGAACAAATGTAATTACTGTGGAGAACACTCTGCAGCACTCTGTGGAAAGCAAATTCATTAATCTGTGAAAAACAAGTTCCCCTAGTTGGTGCAGTATACACAGTTCCATCATTTTTTTATAAAAAGCTGATCTTATCGCTTGCTTTGTATTCAGTATGTTATGGTTAATTATGTATTAATCATACTTTAGAACACAATATTTAAAAGTGAGGATATTTCACTCAGCTCTGTGCATTTTTTGCACATTCAGCAGTCTGAATTTTGGCAAAATGGGGGATTCTGAAAATGTGGGTGTTTGGCTAATGGAATGCCGGTATTGGCTGGAGCATGCTGGGAATTGTAGGCTATTGCTCTGTCTAAACATGTACAAGGGTGTAGCCTAAGACTGTGAGCAGTGAGCAGGAAGTCCCAAGTTCAAATGTTGCCTCTTGGCCTTAGGTTCATAGCCTCAGCACCCCTATCTGCATTATGGGATCATACTGACCTCCTCTTCATGGCCTTGTCATGGTGAAGGGGCTTGCGTAGCTCAATGAAGCTATGAGCTATGCCATGCAGGGTCACCCAAGACGGACAGGTCATAGCAGAGAGCTCTGACAAAAGATGATCCACTAGAGAAGGAAATGGCAACCCGCTCCGATATCTTTGCCATGAAAACCCCATGGACAGTACCAAAAGGCAAAAAGATACGACGCCAGAAGATGAGCCCCTCAGGTCGGAAGGTGTCCAATATGCTACTGGGGAAGAGCGGAGGGCTAGTAATAGTAGCGCCGGAAAGAATGAAGTGACTGGGTCAAAGCTGAAAGGACACTCAGTTGCCGATGTATCTGGAGGTGAAAGGAAAGTCCGATGCTGCAAAGATCTGTACTCCATAGGAACCTGGAATGTAAGATCCATGAATCAAGGCAAGCTGGACATGGTCAAACAAGAGATTACAAGACTGAACATCGACATCTTGGGAAAAAAGTGCGTATAGTCAAGGTTATGGTTTTCCCAGTTGCAATGTATGGCTGTGAAAGCTGGACCATATGGAAGGCTGAGCGCCAAAGGATTGAGGCCTTTGAATTGTGGTGCTGGAGGAGACTCCTGCGAGGCCCTTGGACCGCAAGGCGATCAAACCAGTCAGTCCTAGAGGAGATCAACCTTGACTGCTCTTTAGAAGGCCAGATACTGAAGATGAAACTCAAATACTTTGGCCACCTAATGAGAAGGAAGGACTCCCTGGAGAAGAGCCTAATGCTGGGAACA